TGCTATTATAATGAGATAAAAATAATTATAGGGGTTTAAAGTAATAAAATAATAAAAATAAAATAAAATAAAATATTAAAAATAAAATAAAAATTAAAAATTATTTTATTATTATTATTATTATTTATTATACACAAATTAACTCAATACAGCAAAAAAATGCAATACATGCAAGCATGTGCAACATTACCCCAGGATACCCAGTAACATCCAGGGGTGAATGGAAGAAAAAACGTTCCCCCCTAACATCCATGGGAGATGATGGATAAAACGTTCACCAGTAACATCCATGGGGAGAGGGAAGGATAAAACTTCACCATAACACCATGGGGAAGGAGGGAAAAAATTTTCACCATAACACCCATGGGTGAGATGGATGGTAAAACGTTCACCAGAACATCCATGGGGAGATGGATGATAAAACTTCACCAGAAACATCCAGGGGTGAATGGAGGATAAAATTTCACCATAACTCCATGGGGAAGGAGGGAAAAACGTCACCAGTAACATCCATGGGGAGAGGGATGGAAAAAACGCCACCGAAAACATCCATGGGAGATGGATGGAAAAAACGTTCCCCAGTAACATCCAGGGGAGGGGGGTGGATAAAACGTCCACCAGAACATCCATGGGTGAAATGGATGGAAAAACGTCCACCAAAACATCCATGGGTGAATGGGGGATAAAACGTCCACCATAACACCAGGGGAATGAGGATAAAACGTCCACCATAACATCCAGGGGAGATGGAGGGAAAAACGTCCACCATAAACCTGGGGAGAGGAGGATAAAACTTTTCACCAGTCATCCAGGGGTGAGATGGAGGGATAAAACGTCCACCATAAATAAAAGGGGAATGGATGGATAAAACGTCACCAAAAACACCCATGGTGAGATGGATGGAAAAACCTTTCACCATACTCCCAGGTAAAGGATGATAAAACTTCCCCCCATAAACACCAGGGGTGAGATGGATGGAAAAAACGCCCCACCAGAAACATCCTGGGAATGGATGGATAAAACGTCCACCAATTTATGGTGAGATGGATGGAAAAAACGTCACCAGAACATCCAGGGGGTGAGATGGAGGGATAAAACCCACCAAACATCCATGGTGAGATGGATGAAAAAAACGCCACCAAACATCCTGGGGGAGAGGGAGGGAAAAATTTTCCCCAACCCAAGTAAGGGGGGCTTCAAAAAATTGGGTGAGATGGAGGGAAAAAAACTCCACCATAACATCCAGGGGTGAGATGATGGATAAAACTTCACCATGACCCCATGGTAGATGGATGGATAAAAGTTCACCAGTAACATCCTGGGTGAAGGGATGATAAAACACCACCAGAACTCCAGGGGTGAGATGGATGATAAACGTCCACCAGAAATTGGGGGATGGATGGTAAAACGCACCAGTCTTCCATGGGTAATGGATGAAAAAACTTTCCACCAGTAACACCCAAAGGGGGATGGATGGATAAAACATCCCCAGTAACATCCAAGGTGAGAGGGATGGAAAAAAACGTTCACCATAACACCATGGGGCGAGAGGATGGAAAAAACGATCCCCAGTAAAACCATGGGAATGGATGGATAAAAGCCCACCAAACTCCATGAGCGATGTGGAGGGAAAAAAAACGCCCCAGTAACTATATCCACATCTGATCCAAATAAATGATAACTCCCAAAACTCAATACCGACTTTTTTACCCCTGGACGGATAAACGGGGCTCCAGAAACCCCATTATCCGACTTTTTTTCCCCTGGACGAATAAACATGCCCATAACCCTTTTAAATCCGACATTTTACCCCTGGTTGGGAAAAATGGCTTTTTCAAAACAATAATATCCACAGGAAATCAAACCGCTAATATACCCCATTTGTCTTTAACTTTCGCTCGGATGCACCCTTAAAAGCATTTTTTTTTTTTCCAGAATTATTCATTTTTCTTTTCCTCTTTTTTTTCTTTAGATGATTGAAATAATTTTGGGATTGCCGGGGTGGGAAGGGGTTAAGAATGGGGATCATTTTTAGAGGTTTGGGGGGGATGGGGGAAGCATGGGGGGGTTGTGAAATGGGACAAGTTTTGTGGGAAAATGGGAGGGAAAATTTGGCAACGCAGAGGAGGTAAAATACAGGGGCGGGACTTGGTTACTTGCCACACACCGCCCCTGAAATAAATTAAAACCCATTTTATATACAAATCTACCAAAAAACGGCATTTAAAAACAAATCAATACACCCGCGTTTTTGCAAAAAATTGATGGCTTTAGCTCAGACGAACATAAAAAGTCATATTTTTTTAAAATAATCAGCCATAGTTGCAAACCTTACCTAAAAGTCATCCAACCTTTGAATATACGGTCTGTTTTGTTTATTACCTTTTTGCCTCGCCCCCGGACAGTTAAGCCGATAGGGGCCATAAGAAAATGATTATTCAAATCGCACCAGATATATATAATCTGTGCCTGGCTTATTTTAGTCAATTTAAAATATTTTTTATTTCGGAGAGTTTTGGCCAAGTGGGGTGATCCGGATTTTCCCGTGAAAAGAAACAAAGTGAATCCGCTTTGTTGTGTGACGTGTTTTGACGGAAGCGCAGCAGTTTTGTGCGGGGAGCTGCAGCATGTTGTGACGGGGAGCCCAGCGTGTTGGACGGGCACGCAGCAGGTTGTGACGGCAGCTGCAGCAGTGTTTTTGACGGGGAGCTCAGCAGTTTGAGGGCAGCTGAGCAAGGGTTTTAGGCGCTGAGCATTTTTGTACGGGCAGCTGCAGAAAGTTTTTTGACGGGCAGCTGCAGCTGTTTGTGACGGGGGAGCTGCAGCGTGTTTTTACGGCGCTGCAGAGTGTTTGTGACGGGCAGCTGAGCAGTTTTGACGGCACTGCAGCAATGTTTTGTACGGGGGCTGACAGTGTTTTGCGGGGCACTGGAGTGTTTTTCGGGCAGCTGCCAGGTTGTACGGGCACTCAGGTGTTTTCTTTCCAGTAAAACTGTAACGGAAGTGGGGTTTGACTTTTTTATCACCTGGAGGGGGTTTGGGGGGGTTAAAGCCCCCGCGGCTCGGTCCATGACTAGGCCTCGCGGTGGATCAGGGACTGATCATCCAGGTTGTTACTTCTGGTCACACGTAGTCCAATGTAGGAACCACAGCCGGATGCTGAGGTATTGACTCCGTGTGTCTGCCCAGTTCACTCTTGAAGACAGTCAGGGAACTATTGGTAATCCCCTTTATGTATGATGGGAGACAATTGAACAGTCTTGGGCCCCGGACACTTACTGTGTTGTCTCATAGTGTACTCACAACACTTGCTTTTCATTGGTGAGAATGTTGCACCGTTTTCGAGTCTTTTGCTTTCATAGGGACTAATTTCTATGTGTAAATTCAGGACTAGTCCCTCTAGGATTTTTCAGGTGTAGATTATGAAGTATCTTTCTCGCCTGCATTCCAGGGAGTAAGGTCAAAGGAATTCAAACGTTCCCAGTAATTAAGGTGCTTGACTGAATTAATACTCGCAGTGAAAGTTCTCTGTACATTCTCTAGGTCTGTAATTTCACCTGCCATGAACTGGGCTGTTACTTGCTAGCTTATTTTTCCTCAAGTTTTCCATAACGGAGACACTGATATTTGTTCTCACTGAACATCATATTGTTTTCTGCGGCCCACTGGAAAACTTAGTTTATATCGTCTTGGAGATTTGCCGTGTCCTCAGTGGATGACACTCATGGAGGTTCTAGTATCGTCAGCAAAGGAAGACACGATGCTGTGATGTATATTTCTCTTTATGTCTAGTATGAAGATGAGAAACAGGATGGGGGCGAGTGTTGTGCCTTGTGGAACAGAGATTTTTCATGTGGCAGCCTTTGATTTAACTCTGTTTACTATTATTCTTTGTGTTGTATTGGTTAGAAAGATCAATGTAAATCTGTCCACTTTTCGTTTGACATGTATTTTATGAGCTATTACTCCATGATCGTTCTTGTCGAAGACTTCTACAACGTCTGTGTACACTACATCTGCATTGTTTGTTCCCCAGTGCATCCTAGACCATGTCATAGTAGTAGTAGAGGTAGTAGTAGTAGTAGTAGTAGTAGAATACTTGCTGCTATTTGTAGGGTTTAGAAGTAGAGTAGTAGTAGAGGGGAGAGAGCAATTTAGTAGCAGTAGTATAGACAGGTTAAAACTTGTATTGTAAATCCTTGCTGAAAAAATTGTAAGGCTTGATAATCCGAAGCATCATAGTCATGAGGGGCAGTAAAAATGGCAGCCAAAGTGTCTGATGAGCAGCTACAAAAAAACTTTTATTTTTAGCATCACACACATGAAAGACTTCCGCTATTCCTTATATCCCCGTCATAGCATAACCATTAGAAGGCATCCAAAGGTTCTGATAATAATAGTAAAGGAAAGAAGGGAAATAATATTGCTTTTTTTAGGCTTTAAACCCCTTCCGCTATCTTATCTGCCTTTTTAGCTATTCTATGTAAGCATTTTGTATTATAATAATAAAAGGACCCTTAATAAATAGTACCTTCTGATTTTATTGATTATCCATTTGGTGCAATAGTATATATTTAATATCATTAAACTGTAACTGTTTGTATACCTGAAAAACTTACTTACTTACTTAGTAATCGTATCATAGATAGTAATACTGCAATATCTTTGGTGGCCATAGTATATAATTTTCATAATAATATCATCAATAATAATAACTGTTACTCCTCGCCCTCCCATTGGTCAACACTCTAAATACAACAAAAACGATCTTAATCCCCGATAATCCCTTTTAATGAATTATTTAATCCTAAAATATCCCGGCGTTAATCTCCCCTGTCACGATAAATGAATTATTTGTATTCAAAATTATCAAGAATTTTTATATTATGTAATGTGATTCTTTAAGACTCTTCTCTCTCTCTCTCTCTCTTCTAAGATTAACTCTCTCTCTAGGATTAACTCTGTCTCTAAGATTAACTCTCTCTTTCTCACTCTCACAGGACCTTTCCCTCTCTCACGTAGAGTAGGGCATCCCTACCAGAGCAGGACGCCTCCTAAACGCAAGAAGCCCCGCACATCCTTCACTAGAGTCCAGGTGAGTCCTATTCGTTTCATCTGAGTCCAGATGAGTCCCGTATCTTTCATCTGAATCCAAATGAGTCCTGTATCGAAAAGGAACTTTATACACACTGGTCGACGAGTGTTGTGGGTTGCTAGATGTGAGGAACCAGGAAACATTTGCTTACAGCGCTGCTGGATGCAATGGGCAGAGAGATATTGCATACATTCTGCAACCGTAGAGTTGTTTACTCATTTTCAGTGCTGAATCATAAATTCATTTTAGTTCAGCTATCATTTGCAGGGACCAACAGTTTCACGTCTGACACCATTTCACCGTAAAAAAAAATTCAAATCGAAAAGGAACTTTGTGGACATACAAGTATATTATTAATAATTATTAAAATCAAGGGGAAGCGCTAAACCCGGAGGATTATACAGCGCCTGGGGGGGGGGATGTGGAAGGCATTCAGGCTTAATTCGGGAAACTGGAGCACAGATCCAATTCCCTAAATCAAGAGCCCCTCACCAACATCAAGGAACCTTCCTTAAGGGAAGCACATACAAGTACAAGTATAGAGTAACGTTTCTACGACCGAAACGTTACTCTATACTTATAAATGACTTGAGAATGACCTGCCTAGCATGGGCTGGTAGGCCTTACGTTCCGAGTGAATGTTCTAGTTGTGACGTTCTCTCGTCGTCTCCCTCAGGTGAACGAGTTAGAGAAGAGGTTCAACAAGCAGAAGTACCTGGCGTCCAGTGAGAGAGCTCAACTGGCCAAGCAACTCAACATGACGGACGCTCAGGTCAAGACCTGGTTCCAGAACCGCAGAACTAAGTGGAGGTGAGGGAGAGAGAGAGAGAGATCTAATCTTTATTTTACAGCAATTAGTCCTGTTCTCATTCGCCTTTAATTATTCTTTATTCTATATTATTTGACTTCTTATTGTTTTATTGTTGAGGTTTCTAGCCAGTTTTTATTTATTTGCCTAATTCTCTCTTTAATTATTATTTTCTTATGGTCATTATTAATTTCGGTAATAAAATTTTGAGAACTGTGTCATACAGAGATTTTTTTTTCATTTGGTGCTAACATCTATCACCAATACTAACATCTATCACCAATACTAACATCTATCACCATATACTAACATCTATCACCAATACTAACTCTATCACCAATACTAACATCTATCACCAATTCACTATACCATCTATTCTTATATTCACCAATACTAACATCTATCACCAATACTAACATCTATCACCAATACTAACATCTATCACCAATACTAACATCTATCACCAATACTAACATCTATCACCAATACTAACATCTATCCCAATCTCTAACATCTATCACCAATACTAAACTATCTATCACCAATACCCAACATCTATCACCAATGCTAACATCTATCACCAAAGCTAACATCTATCACCAATCTAAAATTTACCAATCCTAAATCTTCACCAATACTAACATTTTTTCACCAATACTAACATCTATCACCAATCTAACATCTATTCACCAATGCTAACATCATTCACAATGCTAACATCTATCACCAATCCTAAATCTATCACCAATACTAACATCTATCACATACTAACCATCTATCACCAATACTAACATCTTATCACCAATGCTAACATCTATCACCAATGCTAACATCTATCACCAATCCTAACATCTATCACCAATACTAACATCTATCACCAATACTAACATTTATCACCAATACTAACATCTATCAAACCAAAAACTAACATCTATCACCAATACTAACATCTATCACCAATACTAACATCTATCACCAATACTAACATCTATCACCAATACTAACATCTATCACCAATACTAACATCTATCACCAAAACTAACATCTATCACCAATACTAACATCTATCACTATCAATAGCACCATTACCAACACCATTACCAACACCATCACCAACAACATCACTGTCCCCTACACCCTGACCACCACCATAGCCTCCAACACCCTCCATCACCACTCCATCATTCTAACATTCCCTCCCCTCTCCCTGACATCAGTCTAACCCTCCCTCCCCTCCTCTTCCCTACCCAGAAGACAAGCAGCCGAAGAACGTGAGGCGGAGCGCCAAGCCACCAACAGACTCATGATGTCACTTCAAGCAGAGGCTCTCTCTAAAGGCTTGCTCACTGACCCACCAACCACGCCTTTGTATAACTCCAACGCCTCTCTCTGCGCCTTGGAGAACATCAAGCCGTGGGCGGAGAGAAACAAACCCACGCCCACGCCCACGGGACCTGAGCAGGACCCGTACGGTAGCACCCCAGTTGTTTCGCCCACATGTTCGTGAAAGCTCCCAGAAGCTCATCCCAGCTCACTTTCGGTTGCCATGGGGTTTCCCTACTTCTGTACGTCGCTCGTGCGTTTAGAGAAGTAGTATTTGACTTTGCTCGCTTAGATATGACGTTTTTGCAGAATCTTTTCGACGTCGCCTTCAAAGGACGTTATTAAGAATCTTGTCTACGTCTTCAAATGACGTTTTACAGCATCTTTTCGACGTCTTCTTCCATTGATGTTCTTCACTATCTAGGATAGGTTCAGCAACTACAGTTTGTGTTATTTAGACGTCTAGAGTCTAATGGACTATATGTGAACTTGACGTACCGCAACGTCTAGTTCTATAGTGGCGTCTTCTGACGTATGAAACTGACAGCTTTTGACGCTTAGACCTGGCCTAGTTCGAAACTTAGACCTGGCCTACTTCGACACTTAGACCTGGCTTACTTCGACACTTAGACCTGACCCACTTCGACCTGGCCTACTTCGACACTTAGACCTGGCCTACTTCGACACTTAGACCTGGCCTACTTCGACACTTAGACCTGGCCTACTTCGACACTTAGACCTGGCCTACTTCGACACTTAGACCTGGCCTACTTCGACACTTAGACCTGGCCTACTTCGACACTTAGACCTGGCCTACTTCGACACTTAGACCTGGCCTACTTCGACACTTAGACCTGGCCTACTTCGACACTTAGACCTGGCCTACTTCGACACTTAGACCTGGCCTACTTCGACGCTCACAGACATCTTGCCTCGATGGCCAGTGTGACCATTGTTGACATCAGTTTCTAGAACTTTGCTTCAATGTCTACACCTAGTCTCGACTTGTCTACATCACCGTCTACAGGAGAACCATTCCAGCATCTACAGCAGAAGCAACCACCATCTACTTCTCAGCAATGAATCTACATCATCTACGGTCAACTCTGACAAACACGAAGCAAATCACTTGTAATGTTTGTCGTACAAGGCAAATCCTAAGTTACTAGTTACTTGTTCTAAGTTACTAGTTACTTGTTGTAAGTTACTAGTTACTTGTTCTAAGTTACTAGTTACTTGTTCTAAGTTACTAGTTACTTGTTGTAAGTTACTAGTTACTTGTTCTAAGTTACTAGTTACTTGTTGTAAGTTACTAGCTACTTGTTCTAAGTTACTAGTTACTTGTTGTAAGTTACTAGTTACTTGTTCTAAGTTACTAGTTACTTGTTGTAAGTTACTAGCTACTTGTTCTAAGTTACTAGTTACTTGTTCTAAGTTACTAGTTACTTGTAAGACACTAGCTACTTGTTCTAAGTTACTAGTTACTTGTTCTAAGTTACTAGTTGCTTGTTGTAAGTTACTAGCTACTTGTTCTAAGTTATTAGTTACTTGTTCTAAGTTACTAGTTACTTGTTGTAAGTTACTAGCTACTTGTTCTAAGTTACTAGTTACTTGTTCTAAGTTACTAGTTACTTGTTGTAAGTTACTAGCTACTTGTTTTAAGTTACTAGCTACTTGTTCTAAGTTACTAGTTACTTGTTCTAAGTTACTAGTTACTTGTTGTAAGTTACTAGCTACTTGTTGTAAGTTACTAGTTACTTGTTCTAAGTTACTAGCTACTTGTTCTAAGTTACTAGCTTCTTGTTTTAAGTTACTAGCTACTTGTTCTAAGTTACTAGCTACTTGTTCTAAGTTACTAACTACTTGTTCTAAGTTACTAGCTACTTGTTCTAAGTTACTAGCTACTTGTTCTAAGTTACTAGTTACTTGTTCTAAGTTACTAGTTACTTGTTTTAAGTTACTAACTACTTGTTCTAAGTTACTAGCGACTTGTTCTAAGTTACTAGGGACTTGTTCTAAGTTACTAGTTACTTGTTCTAAGTTACTAGTTACTTGTTCTAAGTTACTAGCTACTTGTTCTAAGTTACTAGTTACTTGTTCTAAGTTACTAGCGACTTGTTCTAAGTTACTAGTTACTTGTTCTAAGTTACTAACTACTTGTTCTATGTTACTAGTTACTTGTTCTAAGTTACTAGCGACTTGTTCTAAGTTACTAGTTACTTGTTCTAAGTTACTAACTACTTGTTCTATGTTACTAGTTACTTGTTCTAAGTTACTAGCTACTTGTTCTAAGTTACTAGTTACTTGTTCTAAGTTACTAGCGACTTGTTCTAAGTTACTAGTTACTTGTTCTAAGTTACTAACTACTTGTTCTATGTTACTAGTTACTTGTTCTAAGTTACTAGCGACTTGTTCTAAGTTACTAGTTACTTGTTCTAAGTCATCACCGGAGTTAATGATCTTATTCTCGGCTCATCTCACTGTTGCTATGGTGACGGGAGTCTTGATGCTGGGCGAAGGGCTCTTGATCCGAGGGGAGGGAAATGGAGCTACCAGCCCCTCTTTGCGTCCTCGGATCGAACCTGGATACCTCCCCCGCTTCTCCCCAGAGCGCTGTACGGCCCATACGGGTTTAGCGCTTCCCTAGTAATTACGACTGACTGTTTACTGGCCGTCTAATGTAGCATTTAATATTAATAATAATAACGATACTAATAATGTTAATAATGATAATACTTATAATGCTGTGAGTGAGCATTATAAGGAGGAGCTGC